TTGTTTGAAGGTTAGGATCCAGATACCAGCCCATCTATTCTCCAGCTGTTGTTTATCCTCCAGTTTCCCAGAATAGTCAGGCACAAGGACTTTTAAAAACAGGCTTTTGCTGCTTTACATGTTGGTGTGTAATAATTACTAGTGAGATAGCCTCTTCACTGGTGGGGAAGTAGGTACAGAGGCCTAAAGAATGACATATTCTGTTCCTGGGAAGCAGTGGCCTTTAAACACACTCCCATCAGTCTCCCTTTGCGCCATACTTCGCCCATTCCATTCAGTGACACCTTGTCACAACTTCCATCACAGGTTATTCGGGTTCTGATCCCCGAACAATAACATTTCACTTCTGTTTTGTCGGTTGTTTGGTTGGTATTTTGGCTTTTGGGGCCACACACAGTGACGCTCAGGGATTACCCCTCGTTCTGTGCTCAGGGCATTATATACAGTGCCAGAGATTGAACCCAGGTTGGCCATGTGCAAGGCAAGCTATACTGTCTATCCAGCCCTACTACCACCTTTTTTACATGTAAAAATAGTAGTTTCTATTCTCTTATCTTAAGAGAAAGTTCAGTCACAGGTCAAGGGTATAGGTAGATGTTTCTAGAGATAGACCCTCGTACACTTCCTAACGGCCTCTCCCGTGCTAACCATTTCTGCCTCCTCCCTGCCTGGGCTCATATCTCCACTGAGTGTCTACAGGTCCTCTTGGGTCATCCTCACACTCAGCTCTCACTCAGGGCCCAGGCATACTCAGTGAATCCCTTTGCAGTCGGCCAGCTTTCCTCTGGCCCAGGCCCACTCCTCAGTCTCTCTGCTCTACCTTCCTCACAGTCTCTTCACATCACATACCTGATTGAGCTGTTGGCGTGCTTGACACCTGTGACACAACCCTAGTACTTATAGAAGGTATCAGGCTGGTGATTGTGCCCTGCTGAGACCCCATACAAATCAGCCCCTATAAGCCTCACCAGATCTTTTCCACGGTGTTCAATTCAGCTTCAGGAACCAGTCGTGCCAGCTTTGTCTCAGTCTTCTCTGAGTGTTGTCTGGCTGGCTGCAGTTCTCCTTCCCCTGTCTTGACTCTTCTTTCAGATAGCAGAGTCCACTTCCTCAAGTCTTCACTGTCCCAGCAGACTGATCAGCCTCCTAGTTAAAGCTCCTGCAAAAGTTAAAGTCTTTACTTCATTGTGCTGCTTGGAGTTGTCAATTTCATGTACTAAAATTGAGTCTAAATTGTATGCATGCATGTTGCCAAAGATCGTACTCTGGCTTTCATATATGTAAGGCATGTGTTCTACCACTGGCTTATATTCTTTTTTTCTTTTCTTTTGTTTTTTTTTTTGGGGGGGGTCACACCCGGCGATGCTCAGGGGACCATATGGGATGTTGGGAATCAAACTCGGGTTGGCCGCATCCGAGGCAAATGCCCTACCCGCTGTGCTATCGCTCCAGATTCCTGGCCCCACATTGCTTTTATTACCCATATGAATTCATTTCTAGCCTACATAGAAATATTTTATAAATTATGAAGGGTCTTAATTTTTTTTCTTTTTTTTTTTGTAGGAGTACTGTTATTTATTCAGCCACTGATTAGCTGATTGAATTGGGCATGAACTCCACCTTAATTTTTTTTTATTTTTATATTTATTTATTGAATCACTGTGGGAAAAGTTACTAAGCTTTCAGATTTAAGTCTCGGTCATACAATGATCAAACACCTTTCCCTTCACCAGTACTCATTTTTCACCACCAAGAACCCCAGTATACCCCCCTCCCACTCCTCCAAATGCCTGTGAGGCAGATGATTTCTGCTTAACTCTTCTCTACATTGATTACATTCATTATTTCGACAAACGATGCACCTTGGTAGGGCATTATTGTTTAGAATTTCCCCCCAAACAATCAGAATTGCTGAAAAGGCATTGTGAAATATTTTGTTTTCTATAGCTGGTTATGAGAATCATATAATGTCATGCAGCCACAATTTTGGATTTCTGCAAAGAGCCAGATAATTACGAGTTTGGTTTCTGTGTGTCTGGTGTTATGGCCTTGCCGGAGAGCCACTAGTGGGGGTAACTCGTGACCTCCGTAGTGCGTGAAGTACCTGCCGGTACCGCCCCCACTTCCCATGAGACTGCAGTTGCCCCGTCACCATCGGCTCGTACCTGGCTTTCCTATAAGCTCTGAGGTGGCAGCCACCTTGCTGCCAGTGGGGAAAAAGGCGGAATGGAGCAACACCCTTTCCCTCCTGGGGAGGCATGGCACCATAGTTTAATGCATGGTCCATTCACTTTTCTGCTGCAAGCTTCCGGGCTCTGGATTGAGTCCTTTTGCGTCTGGAGCCATGGCCGTGCCAGAGAGCCGCTTGTGGGGGCCAACTTGTGACCTCAGTAGGGCATGAAGGACGAGCCGGTACTGCCCCCTTCCCATGAGACTGCAGTTGCCCCGTCACCGCCAGCTCATACCTGACTTTCCAATAAGCTCTGAGCCGGCGGCCACCTTGTATGCAGTCCAGATGCATTTCTGCCAAAAGCCGCTGGGTTTCAAGACTCAGATATCATGGCTATTAATCAGCTTGATCAGGAGCCAAAGAGGCCGTTTGTAGGCGGCAACTCGGGATCTCGTTGGGATGGGGAGAAAGAGTCGGCTCCACCCCCATGTGGTGAGACCCCGTGTGTCTCGTCACTGCAGGCTCAAACCTGACTGTCCAGTGGCCTCTGGAGGATGGTGGTCACCAGGCCACCAGGGGGAACAGACCAAGGCACAAAACCTATTCCCACCTGGAGTGGCCCAGCACCAGTAACTTACTGCAGGAACAGGACGCATTTCTGCCAAAAGCCTTTGAGTTCCGAGATTTGTTTCTGAGACTCTGGGATCATGGCCATTAAGCAGTTCGATCAGGAATCAGAGAGACCATGCCTCCAATTATGTAGCTGAGCCAGAGGTGGTTTGTGGGTGTGTCTCCCACATACCTAACTTTTGGCCGTTTACTTTCTTGGTAACTTTGCCCCAAGTTTTTGGGGTCTGGCCAAAGGCACAGCAGCAATTTCGGGGTATCTGAAAGTCTGACGTTGCCATTCAGGCTGCTCATGCACTCGCCTCACAGGTACAGATTGACCTGCTGGTGGCACCATACCCCCTTAATTTTTTTTTAAATGGGGGTGACGCCTTGGAATTATAACCAACTGAGCACAGCGGTTTAATGCTGGCCCCAAGAACACAGTGCTGCTTAGGGGCTTCCAGAGCCACGTGGATTCACTGTAAGCTCAGACCTTACAGTGCTAAGAATCAAACTGTGCTTGATCGCATGTGTGGCATATTCCCTAAAGCACTTTTGCTGTGTCTGGCACCACCAACACCATCCCTTTTATCTCGTGTTATAAGTAAAATTTAGCTGAGCTCTGGGAGGTGATGTCCAAAGGTTTTGAGTGAAACTGAGGAAAAGTATTTTTTTAATTTTTATTGAATAACTGTGATATAGACAATTACAAAGCTGTTTATAATTGGGTTTCAGTCATACAGTGATCCAACACCCATCCTTCCACCAGTGTACATTTCCCACCAACAGTTTCCCCAGTTTCCTTCCCAACATCTCCCAACCCCCTACCCCACACCAGCCTGTCTCTATGGCAGGCACTTTTCTTCTTTCTTTCTCTTCTTTTGTGCATTATGGTTTGCAGTCTAGGTACTAAGAGGTCATCGTATTTGTTCAGGGCATTCAGTATTTTTATCGGGAGGTGAGGCTAGAGTAGTTTTTTAACTGGATGGCATCTTTGGGGTCTGGATGTGACTGCCCAGGCTTCCAGAGGTATGGGGAGGTAGCCCATCCTGAGCCTGAGAAAGCCTGGAGAGGTTTCAGTCATAAAAGCCGCATACACAAAACTTCAGCAGATTGTATCTTGGTGAGATCTGTCCTGAGAAGGTAGAGTCCAGCCAGGGGCATGGCGGCAGTTGTGGAAGCATGCGGCTGCTGGGAGCTCTGCTTGGGCAGGCTCCAGGCTGACCCACTCCCCTAATATATTTATCCCAGTCTGTTCAGCAGCTTTTTGGTATTTTGAAATTTCTGGGTCTCTGAAGTAAGGCCCATAAAAGAGCTTATATAGCAGAGCTAGAGGTGGTTTGTGAGCTAGAGGTGGTTTGTGGGTGTGGCTCCCACATACCTAACTTTTGACTGTATAATTTTTCTGGAAACTGGGTCCCGAGTTACTGGGATCCGGCCAGCAGTGCAGTGGCAATTCGGGGGTGTCAGTAAGCCTGAAGATATCATCAGACAGCTGATGCACTCACCCCATTAGTACAGGTTGGCCTGCTGGTGGCACGGCACCCCCTTCAAAAACCTTTAAAAAAGAAAGACGATGGGGCCCAAGAATAGTACAGCAGGTAGGGCGCTTGCCTTGTACATCCCCAGCATCTCACATTGTCCCCCAATCCCACTACGGTTAATTCCTGAGGGCCACTGGGTATGGCCCAAAAACCAAAAAAAGAAACCTAGCTTTGGTACTGTGAAGAGATAGCGCAACAGATTGAGTGCATATGTGCCTCCCTCAAGAAAGAAAAGAAAGCCTTATGCAAATTCTGTGAGTGAGAGCAATGTTTCTTTGATCTAAGACAGGGGTGGGAAACCTTTTTTCTGCCAAGAGTCATTTGGATATTTATAACATCATTCACAGGCCATACAATACTGGCAGACAAGCCATGGGCTGCTGACAAAAAGCATAGGTGTCTGCTTTGTCATGTACCACAGCCAGACCATCTGATTGCACAGGCCTTATATGGCCAGTGGACCAAGCATTCCCAGCCACTGAAGGAGAGAGGTTTCCCCATGCTTTTTCCTAACGATTCTTCTATTGAGAGCTATCTTTAGATTTATCCCTGATGAAAGTAATAGGGACCTTTGAAAGAATTCAGGTCAAGGGAAGTTTGTTTGTATACCCTGTTGTTGCACAGAAACTTGTATGTAATCACTCACCACAGACGCTTTGTCTTTTTTTTCTCCCCAGGAAACCTGTAGGAAGTGTCAGGGACTCTGGAAAGAGCACAATGGCCTCACCTGTGAGGAGCTGGCTGAAAAAGATGACATCAAGTACCGAACATCTATGTAAGTGACCTGACTGACGCGTACTTGCCCTTTTAGCAAATAGGGCATGTGAATGAATATTGTCGGAAGGACAAACTTCTAAGCCACTCCCCACTAGAGCAATCTCAGAAAGTGCCTAGCTCCTGAGCCTCTATCTTTGCAGCCTCGTGGAGCTGTCTCTGAGGCCACGAGCAGCATATTATATGCTGCTCCTTACTATCCTATAAATGGTGCGTTTCTATTCCATTCAATTGTGCTACTGTCACTTGTGTCTGTTTTCTATCAGCCACTGGTGATATGAAGATGTAAAGTAGAATTGCAACCTTCAGCTTGCAAAATAATACAATCAGTAACATTCAGAGCCAGGGTGCCAGAAAGATAGTACCGAAGACAGGATGTTTGCCTTGCACTCAGCCAATGCGGATTTAATCTCTGGCACCCAGTATGGTCCCCTAAGTACTGCAAGACATGATCCCTGAGTGTGGAGCCTCCCTGAGCTTTGCAGGGTGTGCCCTCCCCCCAAAAAAAATTAAGAACCAGTTCCATATACCACTTGTATGGCTAAATACATTCAGAATATTAACTTGTTGCAACAGTAAAGTGACTCAACACAGAAATCTCTTACTGTTTCACAAAATAGCCTGGCCTTCCCAGCCTGACCACGCAAATCCATGGGTCATTGAAAGACCCAGGTTGTTTTTCCTTCTTGTTTCGCCATTCACTAAGGAGATATCTTCTTTCTGCCTGGCTGTAACTGAGATGTAGCCACATTTATATTCCAGCTCAGAGGAAAGAAGAAAGAGATGAGTTCTTGAAGTTATGATAGATGAATATACATTTATATATATATGTATGTATGTAAATATATACATATATGTATGTGCTTATACCTCTATTTTGATTCACTGGACCACAGGGCAGACACCTAATATGACCTCTAACTGAATGATTTTATGTCCGGTTTAAGTTTGAAAGATGAGGAGCAAGTTTGGTTACTAGCAGAAGTGGGAATGAATGGGGCGTGGAACATTTGCTGAGTCTCTCTGTACATCATGTTTTACCTTCACTCCACTCACAGTCCTGCTGAGGCACAGAGGCCCAGGCATCTTGTTCATCATCACACAGGTACTAAGTGGCAAAGCAGGAATTTGAGCTAAAGCAAAAGTTTTCCTGATAGTGTTTTTTATCACGAGTTTGCGAAGCAGAATAATTGTCCACAGAATGCCCATGCATGTCCTAGTCCTGAACCAGTGAACCGACAAGTGTCATTTTATATGGCAAAAGAGACTTTTCAGATGTAACTGTGGACCTTGAGATCATCCAGGTGAGCCCAGTTTCCTCATTCGGCTCCTTTGGAGCAGTAGCCGCCACTGGTCAGATGGAGATGGGGTGACAGGCAGAGGCAGGGGTGTTATTGAGAAGAACTGCATCTCCCACCAACGAGATGGAAGAAGAGTATTAAAGAATGTGGTGGCTTCTAGAAATAGGGAACTGCTTTTAGCGGTCAGTCATCAAGAAAATAGGCCCTTCTCACCAATTCCTCGAGGAACTGAATTCTGCTGACAGTGCAGAGAGCGGCTCAGTTTTCTGGAGAGCCTCCAGTCGGAGTGAGCTTCCTATCATTTTGAGTTTATTCTCATGAGATCTATGATGGACTTATGCCCTGAAAAGCCACAGAATAACAAATTGGGGGCTGGACCGATAGTACAGTAGAGTGCTTGCCTTGCACGTGGCAGATCTGGGTGTGATCCCTGGCACTTCATATGGTCCCTTGAGTCCTGCCAGGAGTGATCCCTGTGTGCCTAACCAGGAGTAATTCCCGAGCACCTCCGGGTGTGGCCCGATAGCCCCCCAACCCCTAGAAAATAAAGAACAAATTTGTATTATGTTAAGGGAAGGAAATTTTGGTAACTAATAACAGCAGAATGTAACCTGCCCACACGGCAGAGTATGGCAAACTCCCCATGGCGTACCCAATATGCCAAATACCAGTAACAATGATGGGTCTCATTCTCCTAACTCTGAAAGAGCCTTGAATATGACACTTTTTTAAAAAATCTCAGGGCTAGGACGAAGGAGACGTTATTGGGGCCTGCTCGAGGCAATCGACGAATAACAGGATGGTCGTGATCGTGAATAACAGCAGAGGTAGCACTGTAGCACTGTCCTGTTGTTCATCAGTTTGCTCTAGTAGGCCCAGTAACGTCTCATTGTGAAACTTGTTACTGTGTTTGGCATATCGAATACGTCACGGGTTCGAATACGCAGGCTTTGCCATGCGGGCGAGATACTCTAACCTTTAGCTTGCCGGGCTCTCCAAGAGGGGCAGAAGAATCAAACACAGGTCGGCCAGGCCGGCCGTGTGCAAGACAGAACACCCTACCACTGTGTTGTCGCTCCAGCCCAACAGCAGAAATAGAAAACAAAATTTTGATACCAGAAGAGAAGTACTGCTGCTTAAAAAAAAAAAAAAAACTTAAAGTAGAAGTTTGGTTGGAATTCATTCATTGTTTTAATTGGGTTTGGGGGCCACACCTGATAGTGTTTGGGTGTTATTCTGGGGGCCTCACACATGCAAGGCGAGCCCTCTATCACCTCCCTCGCCGCAGAAAAGGTAAAGGCCCTCCCGTTGATCATCGATTTGCTCGAGCGGGCCCAGTAACGTCTCCATTGGAGACTTTGTTGTTACTGTGTCTGGCATATTGAATACTCTCCGTAGCTTGCCGGGCTCTCCGAGAGGGGCGGAGGAATCGAACTCGGGTCGGCCATGTTGGCCGCTTGTAAGGCAACCGCCCTACCTGCTGTGCTATCGCTCCAGCGATAGGGTAGAGGCTACAAGAATCTGGAAAGCATGATGGAAAACAACCTATTCTGCCTATTCTGCCTTGAACAGACTCCAAGTACAAGTATAGACATTAGAACCGCTTCATTCGTGGCACTGGCATGAGTGTGCAGTATAGGCAAAACTTCCCTGCTGAAGGAATCTATAAATCACCACGAACAGACGGTCGGTGGTGTGTGGGCATCAAAGGCGCTGCTGGTGAGCCGAGATAGCTTTGTGCTCTCTCTCTCTCTCTAGCCCAATAAACTTTTCTTTTGAGAGATAAAAATATTCTGAAATTGGATGATGTTGATGGTTGCACAACATTGTGAATAAGCTAAATATCCCTGAAGTGTACCCTTTAAAATAGTGCTATTTATGTGCATTTTGCCACCATAAACAATGAGAACATACATAAAATCTTACACTACAGAGGAAAATTCAAGATCTCAAATAGTCAGGGCCAGAGTGATAGGACAGCAGGTCGGCATTTGCCTTGCACACGGCCACACCAGATTCAGTCCCCAGCACCCCATACAGTCCTCTGAACCCCCAACAGGAGTGATCCCATAGCACCGAGCCAGGAGTAAGCCCTGAGTACCGCCAAGTGTGGCACACACACCAAAAAGATTTCCAGTAGCGGGCCAAAAGGATAGTATAGCACTACATGTGGCTCCCTGAGCACTGCCAGGTATGACACAAAAACCAAAAATTAAAAAAAAAGAAAAGAAAAAGAAAAAAGATTGTACATGGTCATGTAGAAAAGCGCAGTAAACCTTCCTGTTTGGACACGAGGTCAGCAGGCAGAGCTGCAACTCACACTGTTTTTCCTGTCCTACCCAGGAGCACTTCCTGTAGGGCTGTGTGTTTCCTGCCTAGTTTAGAATCAAGTTGCAAAGTGCCCTCTTCCTGAAAGAATCATCTGTGGTTTCTCCCCAGTCCCACTTTGTACTTGGTATTACTGTCTGGGTGATCACCACAGCCCCTGCCAGCACCCCTCTTCGCTCCTGGGTGTACGTCCCTGTGAATGCAGGAGCACAGGGGTGCGCATAGCCATGTTGCAAGTCAGCCTTCTTTATCTATTCCTCGCTAGGCAGGTGTGCCCTCTTCCCAAGCCCTGGGGAACGGTCCATGTGGCCTTGTTTTCTTTCTCCACGGCTCTCACACTACAGCCACAGCAGCTTCCCAGGGCCAAGTGACCCGACTCCTCCTCAGGTGCTCTTACTTAGAAAACTTGTTTTTGTTTTGTTTATTTGGGGGCTACATCCAGTGGTGTCCAGGGTTTAGTCCAGGCTCTGCTTTCAGGAATCACTCCTGGCAGTGCTCAGGGAACCACCGGGGGGGGGCGGGGGGTGCCAGGGATGGAACCTGGGTCAGGGTGTTGTGCCATACCTGCTAGTTCTCAGGGCCTATTTCTGGCATCATCCTCAGGAGTGTTCTATAACTTTACACTGGCTGTAAATTCTTCTCCAGCCAGAGTGCTCCCTTCATGTTCAGTCATTAGAAGTAGACCAAGTGAGTAGGAGCCAATTTCCCAACACGTTTTTGTTTTAAACTGGGATCTGGCTTCTGTGCTGCACTCACCTGGCTGTTCTTCCTCAACAGGAAAGTGAGCAATCGGAACCAGAGATTGTTTCATGAACTGAGTGCAGATTTGCATGCAGGAACCTGGCTTTGCTCCCTGGCACTGCATGATTCCCCCAGTGCCACTGCCCCCCCCAAAAGGGAGGAGCCACATTTGGAACCTCAGGAAGGATGCAGCTCAGAGAACAGCCCCAAACTCTTGACAGTCTCAGCATTGAAGGACTTCCCGGTCACCAGACTGAGTTTCTACTTGGGCAACAGAAAAGTGCTGGAGTGGAAATACGAGGTCCAGTTTCAGACCCACACTTAGGGTCCTGGATGTTCCCATTGGGCATCCCTTGGGTCTTCTATTCAGAACTGGCTTCCTCATGCCGGTGGGCACAGCATAGCCCTCGGGGGTTCAGTTTGCAGCGCAGACCCCACATGGGCAAGTGACGGCTTTGACAGCAGCAGGAACATAGTGAGTGTTGTGTTGTCGGCTGCGTCTACTCTTAACAGCGCACCAAGACTTGTCGTTGTGGTTCTAGTATCAGTTAGATGCTTCTGGAAACCAGAAAGCCCTCTAACACTTTCCTATTGTCCAGCTTGATTGATGTGTTGCAAGGGAGTCTGGGAGTGACGTTTTGACATAGCAGTATGAGCCCTTTTAATAGGAGGAGTCTATAGGCTAACTTGGACCGTCCCCATCTTGTGTATTTGAAACCCCAAGGGGTGTATGTTACTAAGGTTTTAGACTTCCTGGCTGTCTGTTCTCTGCCTTTTAAAGTATAAGGCACAGGGGCTGAAGAGATAGCACAGCGGGTAGGGTGTTTGCCTTGCACGCAGCCGACCCAGGTTCGATTCCCAGCATCCCATATGGTCCCCTGAGCACCACCAGGAGTAGCTCCTGAGTGCAGAGCCAGTAGTAACCCCTGTGCATCGCCAGGTGTGACCCAAAAAGCAAAAAAAAATAATAAGAAGAATAAAGTATAAGGCACATTATTTAGGTTCCTAGAGAATTTTGATGATAAAGCTGATGAACTGAGTTTTCAGACTTCAAGAGATGGATTCCTCAGGGTGAAGGTGTGGCTTGGTAGTTGAGGGCATCCCTCGAAACATAAGATTCTGTGATCCCTAGCAGCACAAAAGGGAAAGATTTGCTCTTTAATGACTCCAGAGTGCACACAGTCGGTATAGGTAGAAGAGTACTTACTATTATTTTTCTTTCCTCTGTACCGCATTTTCCCGAGGTGGGCATTACTTGCACCCCCATCCCCATGGGGGAGGACAGTAGCCTCAGGTACAACAGGGGGACACAGACTCTTCACTCAAAGAAGGTAGATTTGGGGGGTGTGCTGAATGCTTTTTTTCCGAAAGGGGGGATGTAGCAGTCGGTGTAGAGCAGAGTGAAGCTTGCTCTTCAGCCTCTTGCTGTCCATAACCCGGTTTCCTTTTTCCAGCGAGGAAAAGATGACCGCTGCGCGCATCAGAAAGTGCCACAAGTGTGGGACCGGCCTTATCAAATCTGAGGGCTGCAACCGAATGTCTTGCCGCTGCGGTGCCCAGATGTGCTACCTCTGCCGAGTTTCTATCAATGGCTATGACCATTTCTGCCAGCACCCTCGCTCGCCTGGAGCTCCATGCCAAGAGTGTTCAAGATGCTCTCTGTGGACCGACCCTACTGTAAGTGAATGCAGAGCTGCCTCTTGCTTTGTAGGCTCAGCATAGCAGTATAATAATAGCGGATACTTTTGTTTGGTCTGAGGGCCACACCTGGCAGTGCTCAATGAGGACACATAATCAGGTGTGTAGGGTGCTTGTCTTGCACATGGCTGGCCCAGGTTTGATCCCCGGCACCTCGTGTGGCCCCCCAAACACAGCCAGGCATGATCCCTGAGCACAGAGGCAGGAGTAAGCCCTGAGCACTGCTGGATGTAGCTTAAATCTGAAAACAAATTTGCTTGGGGCTTGGCTTCTGGTGGTGCCTGGTGGACCGTGTGGTTCTGGCAGTCAAAGCCAGGGCTCCTCTGAGCTGTCTCAGAACCTAAAAAGAGATTTTAAAGCCAAGTTTGTGACTCAGACAGTAGGAAGGCCCTAGTCTCACTCCAGCACTGCTCGACATCATCTTAATGGCCCCTGAGCACCATGAGGTGTGATTCTTTTGTCCCCCAGGCACTGTCAGGAGCTAGCTCCTACAACTTTTTTTTTTTTAATATACATAGCAGATTTCAGCTCATGAAAAGTAAGATACTCATAGATCAGCAGCCTCAGGAAAAAATAAGATAATCATAGGATGGCCAGAGAGTTAGAATAGAGCCAACCCTAACTCAATCCTCAGCACCACATATGGTCCCTTTAGCATAGAGCCAGAAATGGTCCCTAAGCATCTCCCTAAAGGCCCAATCTCCTATAAGCCTCCTCCTCCTTCCCTCCCCCCCCACACACACAAAAATCCTGTAATCTATGGGGCTCAAGTACCTAGAGTGTAAGACTTAATTAATGACCCTCTGGACTGCGTGTTCCATCCTCTGGAATCCCCAGGCCATAGAAGCCCTGCTCCTGCTGAGGACACAGCAATGAGAAAGGTGTTTGATCTGAGGAGGACACTGGCTCAGGGCGGGCAGCGGGCGGTGAGTGGCGGTGCTCCTTGCCTCCAGACAGACCTCCCTGGGTGGGTCCACTGGTTATACACTGCTTGGCTCAGAACTTGAGGGGGAAACAGGCTCCTCTACCAGCAGGGGCTGTCTGTCTTCCTCAGGGCTTCTCTGAAAGAGAGCAGGCGGGAGGGGGGTGGGGAGAAACAGCCTGACTATTGGAGCTATTTCCCTTCTTCCCCCCTTTCCTGCCCCTCCCCTGCCCTCCCTGCCTTCCCACCCTGGCAGTGAGCGTGAAGCTGCCATGTCCTGTTACCTTGTTGGGGTGCAGTAGCATGCAGTTGCCTCTTGTTTCTTCATTCAGGTATCATCTTCTATCCTGAGCAAGGCTTCATGTTTTCTGAAAGTTTGAGAGGAAGGTCAGGCAAATACAAATCCCTCCGATTTCCTTGGGTAGCCGCTGCCAGAGATTTCGTTCCATTTGTCCCGTTCCCATCAGAACTGGGATCAGCCCTGTTTCCTTGGTTCTCACCAGGAGACTGATTGAATTCCAGCCCAGCATCTGTTGGGGCTCCGGAGAACACAAAGCCATTCAGAAGTTGAGAGGAACAAAGCGTGCCCTGTCATCTGAGCCTGTTCTCCGGCTTAATTAACCGGCAAGGCCAGGAGGATTCTCATATTTGTCAGTGAGGGAGTTTTCCCTTGGTAATTTGGAAACAAATTGAGTTTTCATCGTAATGGCTAGAAATTGCTCAGGAAGCCCGTACTAGTTTCAGATTAGAGCTGGACTGGTGATTAGTAACTGTGTTATAACTAACTATGTTAGTTATCAGAAATAAGCCAAGCACTAGATGTAGAGCACAGGGATGAAGCACTTGCCTTGCACTTGGCCAGCTTAGTTCCATGCCCAGAACTGTATTATGATCCCCTGAGCACCTCCAGGAGTAAGGCCTGAGCACAGCCAGGTGGAGCCCAAAGCCAGAAATATTAACCAAACACATTCAGCTGAGAGTCTTATGAAATAAGATGTCTTGTGAGCACAGAGCCAGGAGTAATTCCTCAGCACCAGCCAGGAGTAAGTCCTGGGCAAAACTGTTTCTTCAAAAGTGTCTTTTTAGGAAAGAGGGAAGGAAGGGGGAATATTGCAATCGCATCAAGCCAGTTTTCTACTTTAGGGATACAATGCAAGGCCAAATCTCTACATGTAAATGAGCAAACATTATTTTGCCATAGGGAGGATTATTCTGGGATATGACTGGACCCAAGTATGCTGACTCTGGTCTTTTGGTGCAGTTTTTTGGTTTTGGGGAGGTTCTTTTTTGTTTGGCTTCTGTTGTTATTGCTGCTTTGTTTTGGGGGCCATACCTGGTGATGCTAAGGGGTTACTCTTGGCTCTGTGCCCAGTATGCCAACTCTGGTCCATGCCTGGTCAGTATATACAAGATGGTTAGAGCAGCCACCTGGTGTCTAGGTTCCAGCACGTCAGTCTGGAAATGCAGGACAAACACATGTTTACCTTGGATCTGGGCTACAGGAAGCTAACTGCAGAAAATTGTTCCTGCTTTGCAGGCTTTAGTTGGTTGGGTTTTCATGTGGAAGGCGCACTCCAGTGGAATAGACACTGAAGGAGTGAACCCAGCGCACCCACACGCCAGGCACGTGCTCCAGCCCTTTCAGCTGTCTCCCCCATGAACCTGTTTGTTCAGTTCTGTTTTGGGCCATGAGGCTTACTCCTGGCTGTGCACTCAGGAATGACTCGAGTGTGGTGCTCAGGGCACCATATAGGGTGGAAGAGATCGAACCCCGTGTCAGCCGCATGCAAAGCAAACACCCCACACACTTTACTCTGACTCCAGCCACCCTCTTGCCCCCATGAACCGATTTTATTTTCTTAATAAAAGTTTGAAGCATGGGGCTGAAGCAATAGCACATTGTTTGCCTTGCATGAGGCTGACCTGGGTTTGATTCCCAGCATCCCGTATGGTCCCCCGAGCACCGCCAGGAGTAATTCCTGAGTGCAGAGCCAGGAGTAACCCCTGTGCAACATCAGGTGTGACCCAAATAGAGGGGAAAAAAGAGTTTGAAGCATATTCCCTTCAAATAGACCCCAAGGCTTTGACAGCCTGTTTGCAGTATGGTGCTGTCTCGTCCAGCCATTCAGTCCGAAGGCTTGCCTCTCTCCCCCAGCATGTGGCCTGTGGCACCTGCTCTGCTGAGGCTGGGATTCTGACAGTCCCCTGAGCCAGAGAGAACATGTATGGGTCGTGAAGGGAGGCCCGGGCTTATTTGTTTCCGTGTTTTCTCACACAGCACCTCAGACCGGCCTACAGTCAGTAGCTTTCTGAAGGGCCAGGAGGACCCGCTCTGGGACTCTGATTTGGGTGACCAAGGATGGAGGATGTGTAAGAATGGAGGGAAAGAAGAATTGTAGGGAGGACTGGGGAGGGAGGGGTAGAAACCTCAGAGAAAAGAGCATCCAGACTTAGGTCGAAAACTCATTTTACGAAGAGTAGAATGAAGTGAGTCCCACGGTGGCGGACCCACAGCTGCCTAGCTGTCCGTGCTGAGCATTTCATTTTCCTTTGGGGCTCCAGGAAGTTAGCCTCCAGGTCCCTCACAGGAGATCTCACTGAGCGCCTCGGGGATAGAGGCCTCTGAGTCTCCGAGCTCAGGAACCTCCCCAGCCCAGGGCCCTGCAGTGGACTCCTTTCCTTTTGTCCAAGTTTTAGTTGGTAGGGAAGAAGCCCTGGCAGCATGGCTCAGCCATGAGCCAGGTGTCAGGGTGTGTGAGCCTTCAGCAAGCAGCAGACCCTCAACCCTGCCAACCACCCCTGCCTAGTGACATTCCCCATCACTGGCCCTTGGAACTGAGCACGTGCCAGCCAGGAGCTTGTGGTCCACATCCCAGCTGCTCGACATGTGCCACTCCAGTGCTGCACCCTCCGCCTGCCCTACCCCCAATTTCCTGTCAGAGGAGAACAACTGGGTGCTGGGGGCCTAGGGTGTGCTGTTGCTCATCGATCTGCAGCAGATCTGGGAACAATTTGAAACTAAATCCTCAGCTCCTTGGAAGCGTTTACAGAGTCATAGCAAGTTTATTAACAACAGCTGTGACCACACAGGACCTGGATCCCAGCCCCAGCCCAGCCATCCAGGAGAAAGCGGTTGGTTCACAGTTCCCGGTCACCTTTTCGGGGGGAGAAGCTCAGAAAGAACGGTTGCTGGTGTTCCCTCCATGGTCACGGGGGGCTGTCAGACTGGTGACCCAAATGTTGAAAAAATTGGGCTCAGAAGGACTTTGAGAAGCTCTGTCCAGAGCAGCCTGGTGCCAAACTCTTGGCGGTCTGTCTTGGGACCCTTCAGCCCTGGCTGCTGGTTATTGCTCTTACCTGCTTGGTGGAAGCATCTGTCTCATATTTGAACCCCTGATATTGCTCTTCTTCATTTCCTCCTGCCCAGATGCCGCTGCTTGGGCAGTGCTGCCCGGCTTTATTATTGAGGAGTTGGGTGTTTCCGTTTTTCTCCCCTCCCATAAGCCTCTGGTGACTCTCCCGCTGCTCAGCAGTGCTGAGTTGGTGTTCTGGAGAGGCTGGACCCTCCCCTCCACCTCATGCTCTCGCCTTAATCCCCAACCATCCCCATGTGCAACAGGCATGTCTGTCTTCCAGCATTTTCTGTGGCCTGCTGAGCTCAAAGGAGCTCAAGGAAAGGAAATAACCCCCGTTATGATGCCCCGCTGTCTCTATGGAACCACTCCTTCCACAACTGCTGGGCGCCAGACTCTGTTCTCAGTCACAACAGTCCTTTGTCCTCAGCCCTGTGTGCACGTGCACTGGCCTCGTGGCTGCTGCTGACTCCCCCTCATGGTCCGTGGGGAGCAAGAACGAGGGCTGGGGTTCACTTCTACCCCAGCTGCCTTTTCACTACGTCTTTTGCAACCTGCCTGTCTCAGAACATCTGGATCCCTGACCAGCATCCAGTCCCTCTCTCAGCCCAACCATGCTCTATTTTCTGTGCATGTTTGAATGTACTGCTGTGATGGGGAAGTGAGGGGGGTGGGCAGGAAGGGCAGAGGAGTGGTTTCATCTA